CCCGCTTGTGCAGCGGGTCCGGCCTACTCAGAAACGAGGAATTCCATCACAGCCAAAAAGGCTGGACGAAATGAAATCACACGTGTCGATATGCAGCAAAAATGTAGAAACCATGCAAAATATACAAATGAAAATGCAGAAAAATGCAAAATGCAGGACACGCGGTGGCCGTCGTCGCAGGTCGTCGAGTCACGTCGTCGTTGTCGTCGTCGTCGTTGTCGCCTCAAGGGTTGTTGATTGTTTCCACAGTCGAACGTTCGGAGTATATTAAAGTTTGTTGTGCTCTCACCGGCAACAACAAGGACGACGACGGCGACGACGTGACAGCGGCGCGAGCGAGGTGGATCATGGCCACGCGCGGTCGGTGCGATGCTAGGCAGAGAGATGATGCCGTCAAGGTCAGATGAGTCAATCCAAGTGCAGAGGAGGATGGCGTGGAAGCAGCAGCAGGTACCAGGTACGTGGTCCGAAGGGTGTCCCTCTTGGCTCTTGCATTTACAACTTAGTTTTCGGGGATGTCGATCTCGCCTTCCGTGATGCGGCGCTGGATCTCGGTCGCGGCTTCGCCGTTGACCGTGCAGCCGAGCGACGCAGCCGTGCCGAGCATCTCCTTGACCGTGCCCGACAAGTGGCGGGCCATCGAGCGCGAGCGCATCGTGCGGGCGACGTCAATGACCGTCTCGAGCGTCAAGTTGCCATCGTGCTTGATGTTCTTGACCTTCTTGCGATCACGCGGGGGTTCCTTGAGGGCCTTGACGAGGAGCGACGAGGCCGACGGGATGAGCGAGACCGTCGCGACGCGGTTCACGATCGTGAGCTTGACCGTGACCGAGAGACCCTTCCAGTCCTGCGTGGCCTTGCAAATGTCTTCGCCGACCTTCTTGGGCGAGAGGCCGAGCGGACCGACCTTGGGCGCGAGCGCCGACGCGGGCGCGATTTCACCGCCCGTCGTGCGGAGGATCACAACGCGTTCTTCGCCAGCCGGAGGAGGGGGAGCCATTGTGGTTGTAGAGAAATCAAAGAGAGACTGTGAGCCAAAATGCAATCTCAGTCACGCCCCACGCAGCGCGTACGAACCAACCAACTCGATTGTCCGAATTTCACATGGATCCTAATTAGGACCCCGCCATTCGTTTGATTGGTCGAGCGCAAACGAGTGGTGCGGTTGGAAAACCTCTCGCAAAGCATAATTTCCCAAAACCTCTCAAAACGCATACTTGAAGATGCAACGCTGGGTCGCGCTCGTGGCGTGGCGCCACCGCGTGCTGCAGAAAAAACTCAAGCGCGACCCGCTCCGTGCAAAAGAAGACGACAAAGACTGGCTCTTCCTGCTCGAGGTATGTGCGATACGCTCTGCTATGCGTGCATGTGAAGAGTAAAGAGGATACTCAGTGTGGCGTACTAGCATCGACTGCTCCTGCATGCAGTCGTGCTCTCGACAGACAACACGCAGAGCGCGTGCAGCGACCGTCGGCGACGATGGATGCAAGCGCTTCTGGATGCAGGCGACGCAAACGTCCACGGCCTCGACCGCCAGGTAGTACACTGCGACTAAAGTGTCGACGACGGCTGAAACTGCGCAGCAACGAACGCTCCTGCACCACGCCGTGCTGCAAAACTGGGGCATTGACGACATTGCGTGGGTCGTCAAGCTGTTTCCAGGCGCGGCCGGTGCTAAAGACTGCGATGTACGAGTCGCCTTGGCGAGGAGATTCTTGTGCCGACGCCATGTACTACTAGGGGTTCGCGCCCATCACGTACGCAACGTTGCGCGGGTGCTGCGACGAGGTCATTCTGCAAATGGCCATCGCCGTGGCTAAAGCCGTATACGCTGACGCCTCGCAGAGCTTTGACGATGGCAACTACGAAGGCTGCAAGCGGGTACTTCGTCCGCTCGGCGGGACGACACTGCATGCTGTCTCAATAGCTCCTGGCGACCGCGACGAAAGAAGCGCTCTCGGCAGTGCCCCACTTTGACTATGCCCGCGTGCAGGTCGTCGCTACAACTGCTAGCGACAGTGACTAAAGCGTTGTTTAGGCGGCGCTCTTGCTCGAGGCCAAATCGGCGAGCGTCGAGCTCCTCGAGTACTGGGCTGGCTTCATTGCTCTCTGGGGCTACTTTGACCCACCGGAAATCATTGAAGACTTGACGCCTAAGCGACGCGTGGCGCTCGGGTCGCACGTCGCGCTAATAGTTGCGGCCAAGGGCGAGCCGCTCTCCTACCAATGGTACTGCGGCGACGATGTACTCGCAGGCTGCACGAGCGCGACGCTCGACGTCACCGACAGCGCGGCACCGGAAGACGAAGGCCAGTACTGGTGCCGCATCACGAATTGGCGCGGCGGCGTCTGCTCGTCCATGCTGACGTTGCTCGTGCACGGTAGACAGCCACCAATATGTACGATGGACAATGATGTGATTGTCGTAGATGACACGGTGGTTGTCGACCCGAGCACGCGCTATTACATTCCAAAAGACTTGCGGCGCGGCGCGTACTTTAACGTGATTGGCAACACGGGCGCGGTCCTCGAGCACGGCGGCGTGCAGCTGCTCGTGCCGCCGGGAAGCTTCCGCGTCGTCGATCTGTACGACTCCGACTTGGCGAGTACGCGCGGCATGGACGTGTGCATGCACGTGACAACGACCGCACCCGAGGTCGTGCAGCAACCGCTTGACGAAGACTTTCGGGTCCTTGTGAGTCCTCTTGTCGCACTTTGTCCGACCGAGCTCGATGCATTTTTGACACCATGGACTCTGCGATTGCCACATAGCGCAGCCTCAGACACGATGGATCTTCTCGTATTGGAGCTCGTCGTCATCGACCTCGATGGCAACCACGCATTCCGGCACGTTCCTGCATCGCACTGCCGGTTGCATCTCGTCATCGTTGTCGAGACAATATTGAGCGTTGCGTTGTAGACTGCACGAGACTTATGTCGACGTTGATGTGCTCGCGCTCGGGACGTTTGCAGTCGCTCAACGTGCGCGCCACGATGAGCAGCCCAAACAACGGGTACCTTTGGTCTACATGAACCTACAAAACGACGGTTTCAGATGTCACTGGCGCTGCTTATCCCGCCGGTCCTGTCCACGGGTCCGTCGTTGAGCGTGAACGTTCACGCGTGGGTCTTCCCGACCCGGCTGGACGCGACCGAGGCGATGGCGACCATGCTCGCAGCGGACGCGGACGACGTCGTGCTGCTTGACACGCTCTCCATTGAGGTGCGCGGCCCAAGTATGAAGGCGCATCTTCGCTTCAACCGCGAGACCTTGACGGGCAGCATCGGTGGCGGCAGTCTTCTCGAGTACGTCGGTGTCGTCCCGCTCCAGCTCGATACGGCCGAGTCGTGCGCCATGCGTGGCTTTATGCTTGTGGCCAAGGCTTTCGAAGCCGGCCTTTACCGCAAACTTGTGCGCGAGCGCTCGTACGACGCCGTGGTGCTGCTGCCCGTCACGTCAACACGTACGTGATCGCACAATGACTTGTCATCGTGATCACATTGCTTTTTGTAATAGCATGTGAGGGCCCGACGCAGGCGCGGCTCTTGCGGCACAACCCGTTTGGCATCCAAGTGTCGTGGGCGAGCCCGGTACAGAATGCGTCGTCGCTGCCGAGCACCGTTCTCGTCGAGCTCGCACCATTCTCCAAGACGTTCTGGGACCGGTACAAGGACATTTGGTGGTTTGAGAGGTTGGACAGACTTTTGTTGACTCTTCTTTAAGGGAGCTGTGAGATAGAGGACACCTCTCGATCGTACAGCGGCTATACCGTGTCGTGCACCGTGGCTCCACGAGTGACGAGCCGACGACTTTCATATTTTCGGATGTTCACGCAGCCGCGCTGCGTGTGACAATCGTCAACCAAGACCACGTCGGCACGTACTGCCCGCCCGTGCTCCTGACGCCAGGTAGCATGCATCAACAATCTCATGCCATAGACAAATCTAGTACCATACGCTGTATTCTTGTAGACACATTGGACAAGGACGACGACGACGACCCACTCTTGACAGGGGCCGCGGTACCTGTCGACGCGCATGTGTCACCGTCGCTGCGCGCCAACCAGCGTGCGCTTCTCGCTCTCGTCCAAAATGTCTATGGCAGCCGCGATTTGGTCGATTGGTTTGGCGTTGACGCTGCGAGCCTACTCGCATGGCTCGATGCGCAAAAGCTCGTACTGCGGACGACACAGTACAGCGTCGCGCTGCTTCTCGCAGGCCTCCAGCGACTCGAAGCGCTCGCGGCGAACGTTCCTTGCCACCGCGCACCGACTTGTTTCTTTGTCCGAGTGTTTAGTCGCCTTCAGCGCGTTCTGCCTGGTACGCTGCTCCGAGAAGCGCAATGGCAGCGTGGCGATATGTGTTCTTGTTGCTACTAGCTCTGGACGCACAGCTATCGAGCGACGAGTCGGCGAACACAGAGGCCCTCGTGCTCCTCTTGCATCGCACGCTCCATGTAGGCACTGCAGTCGCCCTTCTGCTGCATCAAACTCATGCTCCGCTAGTCGCTCTTTACTACGGTGTACAACTGCGTAGCGCCCGGATGGCTCGCGACGTAGGCAAACTGCCCATTATGATAGTAGTCTGACGGTGCCCCATCGTAGCTTTCTCATCTCGGAGACCGCCAGCGTGGCGTCGACGCTGGCGCGTGCGCTCGAAGACCTCGCGTCGACCTGCGATACCCATGCGTTCTTTGGTCCCGTGCCCGAGCTACTAATGCTGTTTGCGACAGCCCGCGAGACGTACGTGGCCCAGCTCGTGATGGACAAGGACGAGCTCCGGCGACAGCACGCATGGAGTCTGCTGCGGTCGCCGACTTTGTCGATGCCTGTGGCGGCGACGTACCTGAGCGCCCTCTTCCAGGTAGCTCATCCACTTGCATGGGCCAAAGCCTTATCGTGTGGCTGCACAGAGAGAGGATGTGCTGGCCGAGCTCCAGCGCGCGGACGCGATGGCCGAGGCGCATGCGATCGCGATTGAGCGCAACACGCTCGCTTCGCGCATCTTGCATCTGTACCCGAGCGACAAGGACGCCGTCGAGTACACGGTGCACGTGGTCGTGCGCTTCGGTGGCGATGTCATCGACGTCGACTGCCTCCGCGTCATCACGGTCAAGAACGCGACGCTGGGTGTGCGCGTGAACGGCGCCGTGGCCTTTGACCCGCTGTCGCGCACCGCGACCTTTGTGCCCACGGTACCTCTGGAGGCGCGGTCGACCTTCAAGCTCAAGCTGCGCGCCGAGGCCATCACGTCCTGGCTGGGGCCGCTGACGTCGACGCTCAAAGTATCGTTTTCGACCAAGCCCAAATAATTATATTAATAATAATATTGCACGTCCGCCAATCAAACGAAATTCGGCAAAATCCCAAAAATTCAAAAAATATGCTGCGGATCGCCCGGAGTCGGCCGCTGCTGCGCCTCTTCTCGACCGAGGCCAAGAAGCGCAAGGTCAAGGTCGCGCTCGTGAGCGGCTACCTTGGCACGGGCTACCATGGCGTGCAGCTGCAGGACACCAATGGCGTTCCAACCGTCGAGAACGAAGTGCGCGCTGCGCTCTTCAAGGCCGGCTGCATCCTCGAGTCCAACCTTGCCGACCTCTCCAAGATCGGCTGGTCGCGCAGTAGCCGTACCGACAAGGGTGTCCACGCGAGCTGCATTGTCGTACGTTGCACATGCATATGGACCGTTCTCGATGTCCTGTCTGTTAGTTTTCCGCCAAGCTGCTCGTCGACAGCGACAGCATCGACGAGACGAACGGTCGGCTGCGTGGCCTGCCCGAGGCCATCAACGCGCACCTGCCGCCGTCGATCCGCATGTTCACCGCCACCAAGGTGCACCAGTCGTTCCGCGCCCGCGAAGACTGCACGCTGCGCGAGTACGAGTACTTTTTGCCGCTCTCGTTTCTTGCGCCGCTCGCGACCAACGGGCAGTCGGTCGACGCGATGGCCGACACGATCCTCGCCACGCTGCCGCGCTACGAAGGCATCTTTGACTTTCACAACTTTACCAAGCAGCGCGGGTCCTTCTACAAGGAGAAGGACCGCCGCGTCGCCAAGCGCATGGCCAAGGACGCCATGAGCGACGACGACGAGGTGCTCGAGGACGACGACGACGACGACGATCTCGCGGTGCCCAATGATATTTCCATCGAGAATGGCACGCGGCGGTCACTGCAGCGCCATCGCCGCACGATCTACCGCTGCCGCGGGTCGCTCATCACGGACTTTCATGGGAGCCCGTACCTGCGCGTGCACTTGACAGGCGCCTCGTTCCTCCTCAACCAGATCCGCTGCATGGTCGGCGCGGCCATTGCCGTCGCGACCGGCCATCTCTCGCCCATGATGTTTGACGCGGCGCTTGGTACACTTGCTCGTCTCGGCGCTTGCACTCACAAAACACTTGAACAGAAACCACTCAGATCGTCCGTGTGCCGACCGCGCCGGCCGAGGGCTTGGTGCTCTCGAGCTGCGCGCTCGGCGGGAAGCGGCCGCTCATCTCGCTCGTCCACGATCACAACACTCCTTCCGCGCTCGAAATGAAGAAGTTTGAGGCGCCGCACCGCATTCTGCTCACGTCGACCGAGTGCGACGCGCTGGGCGCCTTTCGCCATGATGTACGCACCTCGCTACCGTTATGCTACGATGCTACCTCGTATTAGGTCATCTACAAGGAGGTCGACCGTGCATGGAAGACGAGCGAGGCGGTCGCCAAGTGGCCGAGCACGCTCGCCATCTTCCACGAACGCTTCCTCGAGCAGCAAGCGCATCTGCCTGTGCTCCAAGCTGCCGTCGCCGCGCTGCGCCAAAACGACGCCGAGAAGCTTGCCGCGAGTATGCGTGTCGTTCAGCAGGCGCGCCGCGACGAAGACCCGATCCGGTGCCTTCCGCGGGCCTTCTCGACATCGCTAAGTATTCGGTTTGGCCTAACCCCAGGCAACTACGTCACGGACATTCTTATTGCCGTCAAGCAGGTCGACAGTTCGCTGCATGCTGCGGTATTGTTGGCTTATGATGGTAAATGGATAGAGCGTGCTGAGTGGCGTCGTGCCCGTGGACGCTACGGAAGAGGACTTGCTCGCGTTTGTCGACGACGTGGGCGTCGACAAGCTCGCAGCCCGCGGCCAGCGCATCCGACTGCGTCAAGGATAGAAATGTTTAGTTTTTTACGCAATGCGATCGTACAGAATATATTCCACTGTTTTCGGTTGACGAGAAATCACGGCGCAGCGAAGCGCACCGAGACGCTGTTGACGCAGTGACGCTGGTCCGTCGGCGTCTTGAACCCTTCGCCCGTGAAGACATGACCCATGTGACCGCCGCAGGCCGCGCAGATGATCTCGGTGCGTCGCCCGTCGACGTCGGGCTGCGACAAAATCGCGCCAGGAATCGCGTCAAAGAAGGCGGGCCAGCCGCAGCCCGAGTCAAACTTGGTCTCGGACTTGTACAAGGGCGCGTCGCAGCCCGCGCAGTGGTAGACACCCGACTCGTAGTGCTTGTTGTACTCGCCGGTGCCCTTGGCTTCCGTGCCCTTCTCGCGGAGGATGCGGAATTGCTCCTTCGAGAGCTTCACTTGCCACTCGCCTTCACTCAGGTTGACGCTCGTCATGTGGACGATTCGAAAATGAAAATGAGATCTGAAAGGACTGCGACAGGAACCACTTGAAGTTGGAACGGCCGCGAACGCTCGTTGTGTCTTCCGTCCTCGTCCAGGGCCGCGCCACCCCTCGACGTATCGAAATGACAGGCCGTAGCATCATCACCGCGCAGCACCCCTCCTCCCTCCTACGTGGCGATCTTGTGTTGCTGTATGAGCCACAACCCCTACCCCTTCGCGCCACTTCGTTCCATGTGACCTCTGGTGTTCCTCGGACGAACTCAATCATCCTCGACACCGAATCAGTGTCTGGTCGATAGAGTCGTCTGGCAGGCGAGAAGGAAGGCTACTCGGCTGTGGACGGCGCGAACCTTCCAGGCACGGAGCTCAATTTTTCTTGCACTGGCGTCGTGACGAGCTACTGGGAATTCGGTGGGCGAGACCAGTGGTACAGGCATGGGTGCCAGTCGCACGGGCGTCCTCTGGGGGTAGACCACCAGTCGACAAGGCGCGAAGAGCTGCCCATTAGGATGACCGTGCCCCACGGACGCGTTGCTTTTTAAATTCAAAATGAATACAAAGCGCTTTGAAATGTTGGCAGAGTGTAGGTCACGTCGAATCCGGAACATTCCGATTTGGGCAGCTTTGGCGGTTGAAACCAGGATCCGCCGTCAATTTCCACTTTTGACCGGCCGGCAGCAGCATGACGAGCATCAACCTCAGCGAAGGCGAGTGGCGGACCAAGCTCTCCAAGGAGCAGTTCCGCGTGCTGCGCGAGAAGGGCACAGAGCGCGCGGGTACCGGCGAGTACAACAAGCACTACGACGAGGGCGTCTACCACTGCGCCGGCTGCGACGCGCCCTTGTACAAGTCGAGCCACAAGTTTGACTCGGGCTGCGGCTGGCCCGCCTTCTTTGACGCGCTTCCCGGCGCGATCACAGCCATCCCGGACGAAGATGGCTATCGCGTCGAGATTGTCTGCGCGGCCTGCGGCGGCCACATGGGCCATGTCTTCAAGAACGAAGGCTTCAAGAACCCGACCAACGAGCGCCACTGCGTCAACAGCGTCTCGATCCGCTTTGCGCCAGCGTAAGCTTATAACGAATGCACACCTCCTTCATATCTGCTTCTACCGCGTCCATGGCTCCTCGTCCTTCGACAGCCAATGTCCACTTTTCCCACAAGAATCTCTACCTCGGGAGCACGGTGCGTCGTCCCTTCAAAGGGCAGGTGGAACCGAAAAGAACATGCATCTTATTTACACGCATACAGAAGAACACCGTTGGGGCCTATATACCAAGTATACATCGCGCGGCAGGACAAGCTCATGCCGAGTAGGGCAGCGGGATGGCGGTGCCAACGACGACGAGACCTGCAAACGGCTGGAGCTGGCTCGCGCTCAGCCCGAGCTTGCGTTGGGCCAAGAGCATTGCTCGCCGCTTGGCACTCTCGTCAAGGCGCTGCTGGCTCTGCTCGCGGAGCGCGAGCGCTTCGATGCGGCGCGCGAGCTTTTGGACCCGCGCCACATCACGGGCCCGTCGACTCTGCGCCCGCGCGCCAACTGCCCGCGCTTGGAGTAGTGCCACGCGCCGCCGTTCGGCGTGGAGCGCGATCGTCGCTGCCATCGCTGTCTTGACGGCCGCGTCGACAACGTCCGTCGACTGCCGCTCAAGGCGCGCAAACGTCACGCGCTGGATCGTGCGTCGCGCCGTCTCTTGCTTGGCCTCGCGCACGTCGTCTCGACGGTCGGCAGCGTTTCCATGGCGCATGGCTGCGACGAACCCGCGCTCGGCCCGCGCGTCGGCGAGGTATTTCTACATGCAAATGATCAAGGTTTCAATCTTTCAATGTGGCAGAGTGCAATTTCGTACCTGCCGCCCGGCGACGAGTGCGCGTGCGAGGAGGTGCGACCGCGCGCGCTGCGTCCGAGCAATCGATGTGCGCAAGCCTGCGCTCTCCATGCCGTACGCGTACGTCAGTCGACGCGCCTCTTCCCTGCTCGCGAGCCGCCGACGCACAATCTCGCCTTGGGCAGCAAAGAAAATGGCGGCCGCGACCTTGTCGGCCATATATAAAAGACGCTTCTCGTCGGCGCGCAAAAGACGAAACTCAAGATGCGCCCGAAGCGACTCGGTGGCAAACTGCACGCGGAGGCGCGCGGCGTCACGCTTCGCAGCCGCTTCGTCGGCGCCGGCGCGGATCGCCGCCAGATGCAGCGCCCGACGGATCTCGGCCGACCGAAGCCGCACAAACGAGCGCGACCGAAGGCACTGGGCACGAAACTGCGCTGTATGGTCCCGCCGCTCGCGCACGCGCTGTGTATGGAGCCAGCGCGCATGCGCCGCCTGGGCTTGCGCATGTTGCAGCTCGGCGACCCGGAGCGCGGCGAGCATCACCTTGCGCCCGGCGGTCCGCGCAACGTACTGCGCCTGCGTCGCGAGCACGTGCGCGACGCGTTCGTGGCGAAGACCAATGAGTTGACAAAAGATGGTGCACTGCTGGTCCCGTCGCCGTCGCGCGGCAGCCGCGTGCTTCTCGCTGCTGCACAACTGAAGGCATGCGACGCGCTCGGTAAGAACGTCGGCGTGGCGGTGGCATACGACACGGGCATACCAGTTGCGCGCGGCGCACGAAGCGCGGCGGCGCTCGAGCCATGCCTCGCGCCGCTTGGTTGCTTGCGCCAGCTTGTCCTTGAGCGCCCACG